TGAATCATAGCAAATCATTTACTATTAGCGTCAAATACGAATTATATCGCCAGGCTTACTCTGACCCCGATTCGCTCTCATTTGATCTACTCTCATTCTTTCAGTCTGACCACGGCCGACCTGAACGGCGATGGAATTGCCGATATTATTGTGGGTGCACCTTACTTCACGGAACGTAAGGAAACTGTGGACCAATCCGCAACAGCCACAAACGCACCGGTACGAGGAGTACGAAGTAACGCGGACCTGCCGGCGGATCCGGGCCGTCCAACCAGTCCGGAGTTGGAGGAACTTGGGGAGGAGACTGAACGAGAAACGGATTGGGGGCGTTTGTTACCCGATATTGGCCGGGTATATGTGTTCTACGGTCGACCGGGTAATGTGACCGGTCTGGGTGTGACTGGTCGACCGGACTACACTGGCCACGAACCGGTGATCATGAACGGGCCTCGATTAGCCGGTGGACGTTTTGGACATGCGATAACCGGACTGGGAGATGTGGATGGTGACGGAACTGAAGATATCGCCATAAGTTGTCCGTACTGTGCTGATCCTAGGGGTGGAAAAGATAAAGGTGCAGTTTTTGTCTATCTGGGCCGAAAATCTGGACGTATCACGGACGAACCGTCGCAAGTGGGTGGTTGTCTAACTGCTCTTTTCTTTTTTCTTACCGGGTTAGAGATGCTCTACGCAAAGCACGCTGCTCGCGTATGCTAATTTATCCGGGAAACTGAAATCGAATGGATTCTAGGCGACCCCCGAAAGAAGTGCCTTTATAACGAGTACGGGTATGACATAATGGAAGCACTTTGCACCGTCCCATCCCAACTCTCCTCCTGGTGGCGAACTTATTAGATGCGTGTATTGAAACCGTACTGAGATGGGAATCACAACAATCTGTTAAGAACCGTTGATTGAGTTACCGTAATGAGCATTCTTATGTGCATGAACTTCCGATACGTATGAATGCACGTGATAAGTTGAAGCTATTGGCATGTAGATCGGCTGTAGAATCGTTTGCTGTAGAGAATGGGTGGACAGTAAAAAAAATGGGAACATGAAACATGTTCGCATTTAGCAACAACCT